TTTTATGTGAGCCGCCCTGAGTCCCCTCAGGGAAAAGGGCGGCCTACAAATGTTAATAAAATCTAAAAATCTAAAATCTAAATCTAAATAAAAATTCAGGAGAGGATTTCCCCTCTTCACACTGCTGCATAATCCTTTTGGGAATGCTATACCTAAAAAAACTACAATAGTCTAACAATTTATTTCCCACAATATTGTTACAGTTGGTGTAAGAAACTTCTGTGTCCAGTATATTTACTAACCCTCTCCTTCCCTAAGGTGTATGGAAAAGCTTGGGTAGAGAACTAGGAAACATAAGCCATAGCTAAATCTTTAGATCCTAATTTTACCTTCCAGGATGTTTACCCAACCACATCCATAACAGTGAAGCACTGTTACACATATAATTAATCCCAAAGGCTAATTATCTGTATAAGTAATCCCATGCTAGAAGGCTATTTTTGTTGTTTTAAAAGGACTTTTAAAAGGTTATAATTTACAAAATGAGTAGAATTAGCAATCGAGGATATTCTCATTAAGGTATGCATTTCTTTGTCCTAATTTTTCTCATTTCAAGGTCATAGTATGGGAGTCGGGGGCTGTAATCAACATATCTGGAAAGTGCTGAGAAAAGCTGCAACAGAGTTAAAGGCTTGCTCATTTGCCACATTTTCTATAGATATAAATCATGGCTTCTTTTAACTTTAATTTAATTTAAAGGAATACTATGTTGACATAAGATAAGACAAGAGCAAACAAACTTTCATATAGGCATTGATTTTTCCATATTACTCAGAAGAACTTCACAGGTTTATCAATACTTATGGACTCTCAAAATATTCTGGGATGCTCTATCTCAGTTTTTGCCACCCTCCAGATAGGGTGGGATGCAACTCCCTGAATTCCTAGTGACAGTTTCAATCCAAGCCATCTGGAGGAGTCCTCTAGGTATTCTTGCCTGGGAAAAATATTTAGAATAGAATAGAATAGAATAGAATTCTTTATTGGCCAAGTGTGACTGGACACACAAGGAATTTGTCTTTGATGCATATGCTCTTAGTGTATATAAAAAGACAAGGTACATTCATCAAGAATCATAAGGTCCAAACACATAATGATAGTCATAGCAAATGACAAATAAGCAATCAGGAAAATTAATACAATATAAATTTTAAAGATACAAACAACAAAGTTACAGTCCTGCAGTCGTAAGTGGGAGGAGATGGGTGACAAGAACAATGAGAAGACTAATAGTAATGCAGCCTTAGTGAATGTTTTGACAGTGGTGAGGGAATTATTTCTTTAGCAAAGTGATGGCGTTGGGGGAAAAAAGTGTTCTTGTGTCTAGTTGTCTTGGTGTGCAGGGCTCTATAGCATTGTTTTGAGGGTAGGGATTGAAACAATTTATGTCCAGGATGTATGTAAATATTTTCATGGCCCTCTTTGTGACTCATGCAGTGGACAGGTCCTCAATGGAAGGCAGGCAGGTAGTAATTGTTTTTTTTTCTGCTGTTCTAATTATCCTCTGAAGTCTGTCTGTCTTGTTGGGTTGCACAACCAAACCAGACAGTTATAGAGGTGCAGATGGCAGACTCAATAATTCCTCTGTAGAACTATGACTGCACCAATAGCCAAAAAGTCTCGGCATTTTGATGGCAGAAACTAGATAGTTGGATAGTTGGAATTTTTTTTGTCAATTTTTAAAAGTTTTTCAAGTCAAGCTGAACTGTAATTGATGACATAAATATGTGTGTATAGAATGCTAGGAATGTTGCCTTTTTCTGGATTTTTTTTTGTTACTTCCAAGTGTAGCCTATAGTCCCAATTTTTACAAATGATCTTCCATCCAAATACTAACCAAATCCAACCTTGTCTGGCTTTTTCAAAATCAGCCATGATCGGCTAGCAGCTGTTAACTTAATATGACAATTCACATGCATAAATTGCTTGATGTTTTTCTGTCTTAATTAGTGTGTGACTTAACTAAATTGTGAACTAGGGCCTATTTAAAAATCCAAGGCTTCATGCCTGTCAGAGCATCTCTCCCTGCCTCCCCATTTTATTGCAGTAGCTCACATTAATGGACTTTTGATAATTGATTTTTCTCCATTGGAAAGACCGTAGTCTATTAATTGAAAGCACGAGGGAAACCTGACAGGCTCATTAAATCCGGCATTATTTTTAACTGATTCAGTGACATGAAATAAAAACTTCTTAGAAAATACTGATAAATAATGAATATTTAGGCGATGCACACTGCAAGTGCTGAAGCAATTATCCAACTGCCATCATTTAATAAATCCAAGTGTGAACAGATTCCATGGGGAATAATTGATTTTCTCACTAGGAGAATTACAGCAAGAGCATTTTAAGTTTGTGATGATTTTTCAGAAGGAAAATCATTCCTGTCGATATGTTCTTGCACTCTCTGCATCAGGTATAAAATAATAATATTTTCATTTCTGTGTTTATTAAATAAAAATAAAACAATACTGTAAAGGTTCCCCTCGCACATGTGCTAGTTGTTCCTGACTCTAGGGGCCAGTGCTTATCTCAGTTTGAAAGCTGAAGACCTAGTTCTGTCCAAAGACGTTTCCGTCGTCACGTGGCCAACATGACTAAACACTGAAGGTGCACGGAACACTGTTACCTTCCCACAAAAGGTGGCTCCTATTTTTCTACTTGCATTTTTACTTGCTTTCCAACTGCTAGGTTGGCAGAAGCTGGGAAAAGTAATGGAGCTCACTCAGTTACACAGCGCTAGGGATTCAAACCACCAACTTTCCTGATCGACAAGCTCAGCGTCTTAGACACTGAGCCCCTTTAAAAAAACTTTACTTTCAAATAATACTGTACTAATCACAAAATCACTACTAGTTTCAGGTATAGAATATTTTAAACTGGCACTTTTTGCATCTATCAGTGATTAATACTACGAAATTAATACACAACCGACTTGAGGTTTTTTTTTGTTTGTTTGTTTGTTTGTTTTTTTGCTGTATTGCAAATATACCGTGCCATAACTAAGTTAAATCAAAGCCAAACTCTTTCAGGTCCCACCGCCACTCTTTTTCCCCACCGCGTACCAGCCACCGCCACCAGATAAAAAGAACCCGCAGCTCCCGCCCTGAGATTTAAGTGCCCCGATGACCTCTGGGAGTTGTAGTTTTTTAGCGGCAACTTGCCGAGAGAGGAAGGGACAGAAAAGGAAACCTCATTTCCCATGATCCGCCGCCATCCTCAATGTGTTGGGAAGTTCTTTTCGGGAAGTCTCAGCCGCGTTATTTGTCAACCGGAGGATACAAGTGAGGGCGCGTGTTTCTGTTCCATGATAATAAGCGCTGCGTTCCCAAGCAAAGGCAGGGAAGGACGCGGGCGGTTTGTCTTCAGTCGAGCCTCTACTTCCTCTGGCTTTTGAGACTTTTACGTTAGCATGGATCTGTGGGCTCGGGTAGGCATGGTGGGCGCTCTGTCTTGTTACGCGCACCGCAAGAAGAACGTCCTGGCCCAAGCTGCAAAGAGCGACGGAGAGAGCGGCAGCGGCCGGCCAGAGCTGAAATTGGTGCAAGTTCTCTTTCGGCACGGCGCTCGCACGCCCCTCCGGACAATCCCGGGCATCGAGCAGGTGAGCCGCCTTCCTTTCTCCCGCACCCGGCTGGATTATCAGCGGCTGATACGGTCGGTAAAGAAAGCTCTGGTGGACTATCGAGGGTGGGAGCGATAATAAAACCTCCAATGCTTTTATAGGTGTGCATCACATATCGACCTAACCCAAAATTTCCGAAGAAGTGCGATTTGGAAACACAATTACCAGTCTCCTTTACAGGATAGTTACTAAGTTTAGATAACTTAGTAAGTACCATGTAAAGGTGCTGGGTAATTTAGATTACTTAATAACCACTGGATGTTGGTTAGAGATCAGTGTACGTTGTTCAGTCACTAAGTCTTGTCTGACTCTTATGGACCATAGCACGTTGTCCCCCTGAGATTCATGTTCCTTGTGTCAATGACACTAGCCATAGGCGATCATATTTTACAAACATTGGTTGTGAAAGAGGATGCCTGGTTTGGGTGATTTCCTCTTGGAAACAGAGGACTGCTTGCAAGAACTTTGCTCTTTTTCAGGTGAGCTGGAATAGAAGTTGCTTTCCCTGGAAGTGGCCCAGCTATAATCATGACTGCAGCACAATTAAGATTAAAGATGGAAGGCTGTTTTACTCGTGGCAAAGTTCATTTTTACATGTTTGTACAGCTTAAGTTATGATAAGTATGCAGTATTACTGTACAAGATCAAGTTTTCAGAAAGTTTGCATTTCATAGATCAAATTAGGAAAAAACAACACATCTTCTAAAGGAAACTTTGCAGCTTAATAACATATTTTCAAGAGAATTCCAGTTCCTATGGAATTGGAAATAATTTTTCCAAACTTGCTGAGGTGGAGTAATGATTTTTGCTCCCTGTTGAATCTAATAGAAAAAGGGGGAAATGGCATCCTGATCCACTATGACAATTGTGTTGTTGTTAAATGTTACAGTATTCATAGGTTCAAAGACAAGCATTGTGCACTGAATCTATTTCATAGGGCATGAAGCATTGATGTGCACGAGCAAGTGAAATTTCCTGGAAAAGGGCTTGCTTACAATGAATGTTAATGATTGGGATATTTGAATTTTGATTTTGACTGCAGCTTAATGATCTGAAGGAGCTTTCAATATGTTGAGGACAGCCAAGATTGGAAATATCTGAAGGGTAATAGATAGACTAGATATTTAATGAGGACCCAGATTGTGGGGGCGATATGCTGACTCTGTAAACCGCTTAGAGAGTGCTGAAAGCCCTATGAAGCGGTATATAAGTCTAACTGCTATTGCTAATAACATTCTTTATTGTATTATATATTCAGTCTTAAGGGCCATGAATACATTTTTTGCATCTACATCTAAGCAAAATGAAACCATCTAGTTAGTTCTAATTCCTATTATCCCATCGTTGATGATTAAACTGAAGTTAAGGAGTAGCTTGAGTAATAACTGAAAAAGTATATAAGTGGTTTAGTACTTATGATTTTCTAAAAATCAAACCTTTATCATGTTTTTGAAACAGGTAGACTGGGATCCTACTCTTCTGGAGATCCCCGCTCAAACAAAGTTTCCCTACATAGTAACTAATCTCACTGGTGGACCAAGACCATTTTCTCCTTATGAAGAAAATTACAAAAAAACAGTGCTGAAGGTATTTTGTTTCCAAAGCTTTGCATTTTCCTGCCTTCTAGTGAGCAGCTTTAAGTGAAAAAAAATTCTCTTTCTAGGGAGGTGTAATTGCAGGACAGTTGACCAAAGTTGGCATGCAGCAAATGTTCACCCTGGGGGAACGGCTGAGAAAACGTTATATTGAGGAGTCCAATTTCCTGTCATCATCCTACAAATCTTCTGAGGTCTTGTAAGTAGTATATTTTATGTAGTATGTCCTAATATTGAAGAAAAATTCAAAACTTGTCCCCCCACACATACACAAAATAGTCCTGTGAAGTGGGCTAGTCTAAGACAAATTGACTAATTCAGTCACCCAGTGAGCTTCCATTGTTAAGGATGGAATAGAACTTGTATCTCTGTCCCTCATAATTCAGCATCTTAACCTTTACACATTTAATTTCAAGAGTCTTGTAATAGTCATCCATAATGTTTGTAGGAGCGTGTTGAAAGCAATGGCCATTTCCACTTCATTTCATTGGCTGCCTTATATCTTGCAGAGTCCGTTCCACTAATATTGATCGGAATCTGGAATCCACACGATGTTTGTTAGCTGGGCTATATCGAGAACAAAAAGAAGGTTAGCGGTGGAAGCTTTTCACTACTATGTTTTCTGTTCTGCTTCATATCATATCTGCCATCATGGATTCCTACTTATTTTGTCACTTTGTCTAGGTGGATAACCCCATAAATAACTAGCTAAAATTCTATCATAAAATGAGGTGTAAAAATGCCAAAATCCATTATCTAAAACCTCACTAAAAAGGCAGCCCAATAAATTCCAAATTCTGTGTGGAACAGATGAAAGTTCTGGGATCCAAAATGTCAGAGGATTTATAGGTTACCAAGAAGTAAGTGTTCTTTTGCCTTAAAGCTTGTAAGATGTCAGTCATGAGAGATGTTAGGGAGAGATGATAGTCTTTGAGCTTAGATTTGATTTGTTATCCCCAGTATTTGTTAACCTTGTTAAAGGTTTTGATTTAAGACATTTAGGCATATGTGATATAAATTAATTTACAAAAAAGCTCACAGTATGAGCTGTTAAATGCAAGAGTTGAATCTATCTCTGGTAAATTTGTGTCAATCTTTCTTCCTCTTCTTCTTCTTTCTATTCTATAGCTATCTATTCATCTATCCTATGCTACCTATCTTTATATGCTATGCTATGCTATTCTATGCTATCCTATACTATCCTATTCTATCCTATCCTTCCTTCCTATCCTATATAAAAGGCTGTATGTATGTATGTTCCAGCAAAACTCGAGCACCCCGAGCAATTTCAAACAAATTTGGTGTGTGTATCTGTGTGTTCCAGCATAACTCTGGAACACCTGGCTTGTTAAGGAGAGTGAATGCAGCGTACTAGACTGTACTAGAGTGGCAAGTGCTTTTGATGTCATGGGAGGGAGAAGGGAGAACCTGGACTGTTAAGCAGAGTGAGTGCGGCAGCCTAGAGCGGCAACTGTTTGTGGTGTCAGTTCCTTAGCAGCTTCCTCTGGAAAGCCAGCAGTGATGTTAGCCCAGTGATGTTCACTATTAGTGAACTAATAGGGAAGTGCCTGATGGATTTGGGGCAATGTGCCAGGGTTGTAGACAGAGTGGGAAAGAGGAGCGCATGGGAGGGGGAAGCAAGAGGGCAGGGATGATGGGCCTGGAAATAGGGAGAAAAAAGGTCCCTCTCAATGGCTCCCTGACAGACAAATGCTTTTGGGCAAAGTGCTAGGATTGTAGACAGGGCGGGAAAGAGGAGTGCATGGGAGGGGGGAGAGAGAAGGCAGGGATGATGGGCATGGGAGGGGGAGACAGGCCCCTCTCAATGGCTTCCTGTCAGACAAATGCTTCAACATCTATAAATACCCAGGCAACACCGGGTTATCAGCTAGTGCATTAATAAATACTGGATTTAAATTGGCATTTTGTACAATGGGTCTTTTTAGTTTGCAGCCATGATGTATCATTAACTTAGAAAGTAATGTATTTAGGAATAGAGGCATGTAGATTTTGAAGAGTAGGAAAAATTCTTTACTGAGGTTGGTTAGTAATAAAATAGAAAGGATACTACAAATATTTAAAAACAAAAATGCAGTTCAGGTGGATTTATATTCCAGAATGCAAGAAATCCTAGTATGAATCCTTTACATCAGGGGTGTCAAACTCGATTTCATTGAGGACTGCGTCAGGGTTGTGCTTGACCTCAGGGGAATGGCCCGGGCTAGGGTGGGCGTGGCCAGCTCAATGTCACTTGTGTGGCTCCTGAGCTCCATTTCAGCCGTGACAGCCACCTGCAACACTCTGCCAGTGAAAATGGATCCGGCCCCCAGTCCTTGAGTTTGACACCCCTGCTTTACCTCTTTGATATTACAATTTGTGAAAGAGCAATTTTTCTTAATTACCCAGGAGCTGTTACCATTGTCACAGATAAGGCAGAATCCGAAATCCTTTATCCCAATCCAGGGAATTGCCAACAACTTAAACTTATGCATAGGTGAGTTGCCAGTATATTTTTGGTTGATGTCATTGTATGTATAAAAAACACTGATGTGCCAAAAAGCAGCTTATAATAGCCTTGTATAAAACAGCCATGGTTTCTAATTTGGATTTCTGAACAGAATAATTTTAATGTATGTAGTGGGCTCCAGGTTGATGCCAACTGATATAAGATAGCATCATTATCAAAAGCAGCATGCATTTTCCTAGATTCATTGATTATGCTTTTGGGAATAGTAGTTAAATTGGCTTGTTGTGTGCAGTTGGTCTTCAAAGAATGTGGCCATGCTCCAAGTGTATGCAGGGAGCAAGTTCTACCTTGCCTTTTTTACCATCATTATAGGGTAAGTGTAGGTAGCTATGAAAGCCTTCAGCAAATGGCTGTAATAATTATTATGAGAGTCTCAAATTTCTGTAATAAGAACAACTGCAAAAAGCTCATGCAAAATAGAAAAAGGCTCATTAGCTGCTCAAATCACAGTTGTATTTATGATCTACTACTAAACCTCCCAGGAACCTATTATAAACAGTCTTACGCATAATCCATATGCAGTTTAGGAAATGAATAAAAAAATTTTATAAGGCTCCCTGGAGTTGAAATGAAAAAAAAAGGTAAAATATGGTATCTTACAACAGCTACTCAATCATATGCTGTGCTGATATTCAAAGAAAGATATTTAGTTCGTGGGTCCTTCAATAGTAGCTACTAGGTCCCATGTGTCACAAGATCTATTTTTTCCATATACATGGAATCCAAATTAAATGGGAACTAGTATGCAACCCTATTTTCAGGTATGCCTCTGGCCCCTGTACTTAATCCAGGGAATCTCTTGGGAAGAAATAATAATAATATAGAAGGCTGCTGCTCAATGTTAAATTTTAAAGTATTGTTGGAAGAAATGTCTTCCTGGGTTCAGTTCCAAGTGGGGAAAAAGACAGTGGAAACATGGAGGCTGCTTGGAAAGGTGGTTTAATGGTGGACAGGATCACATGTCTTGAGCTCCTGAACAGAAAAGGGGGATCTCATGCTTCAAGATGTTGGGTGAAAAAGAAAGAGAGACAGAGATGATGAAAGTCCCTGGTTTTATGCCCTCTCTGGGATTTGGACCTGAGCTTGTATTCTAATTGGTTGTCAGACTCCCATGGGGCCAAGCAGGAGCACCTCGGTAGGCTGTGTTTAGTC